GACGGGCTCAGGTCCCCATGTCAGGCGAAAAGGGACCCAGAACGGCCGAAGTGGGCTCCCAGAGGCCCCAAAAAAGGCCGACCAGGATTCCCTGAAAACGGTCCAGGAGGCCACTGAGAAGGCCCTCCAAAGGCAAACGTCAAGCATTTCGTATGGAAAAACACGTGTATTTCTGGGCGTTTCGCTTTCCAGTTCTTCTACCAGCGGTCGCGACGGCCCAAGAGGTTACCAAAATGAGACCCAGACGGCCCCAGATGCCCCAAGGACATGTCCAAAACAGACTGACGAGAGCTTCAAGCGGCACAGAAGAGATACAAAACGGTCCAAGACAGCCCTCAGGAAGCCCGAGGGGGTCACTAGAGGATTCCAACATGGTCGGAGAGGGCCCCAGGAGGGCCCCAAGACGGGCTGAGCCCCCCACGACTGGCCAAGCGGGACCCGGAACGGCCTGGAACGGCCGAAATGTGCCCCCAGACGGGCCAACAAAGACCCCAAAGCACACCAAAGGAAGGCCCGGAGAAGCTCCAGAGACTGCCACAACGCTTCCACAAAGGCTCCCAGCACGCGTTCCAGTAGGCACACGTGTATTGGGTGCGTTGAAATGAAGAGAGGAGGAGGACAAGGAGCAGGAGGGAGGAGGAGGGAGGTATAAGGAGGAAAGGGAGGAAGAGGTGGAGGAGGAGGAGGAGGAGGAGGAGGAGGAGGAGGAGGAGGAGGAGGTGGGAGAGGAGGAGGAGGAAGAGGAGGAGGAGGAGGAGGAGGAGGGGGAGGAGGAGGGGGAGGAGCAGGAGGAGGAGGAGGAGGAATAACATCAGGAGGACAGAGAGGGGGAAGAGGAGGAAGGACATTGTTATTGTAAGGTTATATTGTTATCTGGTTCTCTGGCTCGGGGAGGGCTGTTGAAGACGAGAAGGGAAGGGGAGCGCAGGATGAAGAGGGCACACCGAAGAGCGAGGAAGACAGGGAGGAGGAGGAGAAGGAGGAGGAAGAAGAGGAGGAGGAGGATGTGAAGGAACAGGGATTCCTTTCAGGGAGGCGCCCACGAGGAAAATGATGAGTATACGATGATGGGAAGAGGGAGAGGGTAACGGGACTGCAGTGGACCGGGGATGATGACGGCGATGACGCTGATGATGATGACGATGATTATGCCGTCGACGACGCCGACGATAACCAACAAGATGTTGATGATGCGGATGATGATGTTGAAAAGTACGATGACGATGATTGCGGTGGTGATCACGATGCTGATCATAATGGTGGTAATGATGATTGTTGTGATGGTGATGGCGAAGGTGACCATGACCATGACGATGACGATGAAGATGACGGGGATGAGGATGACAATGATGACGATTATCATGACCCTAGCTAGAACCTGAGCGCGAACGATGGTTCTAGTGTGTATATATACACCTGTATGTGTATGGCGTTCGTCTCCGCTCGAACAACAACAGGCAAACACAAATAAATAAAAAACAGGCAAACAACATCCTCCTCGTCCTCCCTCCACACCTCGCGTGGCGCCCGCGCCGCCGCCCGTCCCAGCCGCCGCGCGGCGCCCGGCCAACCCCTGCGCGGCGCCGCGCTTCGCGCGCGCGCGCGCTGTCGCCCCAAGTGGCAGTGCGGCGCCCAGAGAGACGAGGCGGGCGGCGGCGGCGATTTCGACGACGGCACCGCGACGGCGGCGGCGACGGCGACGGCGACGACGTGACGATGGCGATGCCGGCGACGACGTTGACGGCGACGGCGGCGTCGGCCACGAGGATGACAAGGGCGAGGGTCGTTTTTTGAACGCTGTTGGAAACGCCGACAACGGCAACGGCGACGGCGGCAATGGCGTCGCCGACGGCGTCGAGAGACGGCGACGAAGGACCTCGACAAGGGACGGCGGCGGCGACGACGATGGCAGAGCGGCGCGCTGGTTCAAGATCTAATTTCGGCCCATGGGTCTCCATTCTGGCAGAGGCCGCAGGCATATGTATATATATATATATATGTATATATACACACATTTCAGGCGTCCTGTGAGGCACGCGCCTTTCGTACGATTCGCTTGTCTGCGAGTGCAGTGAAGCCGCATAATAAGGATGAGCGACTCTATAGGCTTACGCCACATCCGCCGACCCCTTGAATTTTTCGGGAGCGCGGTCCTGTGGACCATCGTTCACAGACGGCAGGTCTCGGTCCAAAAGCCGGAGGGATGGTTCTCGAATGGCCTGCGGTGTATCCCGCCACCGTGTCTGGGTTGCGGGTCTGGCGGCACTCGGATGGCTGATGCGATGTCGTGGGAGGCCTCACGTGGGCGTCTTGGAGGTGGTATTTGGGTTCCTTGGGGGGTATTTGGGGGCTGTATTGGAGGCCTCCAGGGCCGTCTGGGAGCGTCGGAAAGCCCAAAAGGCAAATTTGTGAAAAATGTACGTTTCACGAAGGGAACGGGCCAATTTTTGCGCCGAGGGGCCCTCCTGGGACGCATCTTGGAGGCCTCTTGGGGCCTCTTGGGGCCGTCTTGGGCCGTCTGGAGGCGATCGTCGGTGTCTTTGATCGCTCTTCGACCGTCTGTGACCATATTGAGCTCTCTTGGAGGCCACTTGAAGCGCTCCTGGAGCGCTCTTGGGGCCGTCTTCGGGGCCCTCTTGGGCAATCTTGGGCGCCTCCTGGGCTGTCTTGGGGCTCTCTTGGGCTGCCTTGGAGCTTCCCTGGAGGCTGCTTGGACCGTCTTGGGGCGGTATGTAGGGCCTCTTGGGCCGTCTGGGAGCGTCGGAAAGCCCAAAAAGCGAATTCGTGAAAAATGTACGTTTTACGAAGGGAATGGGCCAATTTTCGCGTCTAGGGACCCTCGTGGGACGCATCTTGGAGGCCTCTTGGGGCCTCTTGGGGACCTCTTGGGCCGTCTTGGAGGCCTCTTAGCCCGTCTTTGAGCCATCTTGGGCGTCTTGGAGCGCTCGTTTGGCGTCTCGGGGCTCCCGTGGGCCGTCTTGAAGGCCTCTTGGGGCCATCTTGGCCCGTCTTGAGGCTTCCTGGGGCCCGGAAAAGCCCCGGCGGCGCTCGTCCCGGGCCCGGGGGGGGCGCTCGTCCCGGGCCCGGGGGGGGCGCTCGTCCCGGGCCCGGGGGGGGCGCTCGTCCCGGGCCCGGGGGGGGCGCTCGTCCCGGGCCCGGGGGGGGGGGGTCAAATCGCCGGTTTGGGGTCCCGGGGGGGGGACTATAGGGGGGGGAACTATCTCACACGCCTAGAGACCCACAAGGGGTCGGCGGACTTTCCAAGGCTACCCTTGCATCTTTCCCCTTCGGACCCCCTTGGCCGCTTCGCTGGCCGCGCCCCGCTCGCAAAGTGTTGGCATGGCCTTCCCTCCTTCCCTCCTCTCCGTAATCCCGCCAGCGGCGTGATTAGATTCCAGGCTTCTGTCTTTCATTTGCGATTGGAAGGGGATTTGAGAACATAGGTGCTGCTCTGCTTCTCTTTTATTGTCATTGTGTCGGGCCTTATTATATCGATGGTCGCTTTGGCCGTGCGGGATGCACGCTCAACGCCATTCTTCATCTTCCTTCTCCTCCTCCCCCCCTCCTCCCTGAATGTGGTGACGTTTACCCTGCCTGCCACTCCAAAACAATGGGTTGCTGCTCTCGAGCTTCAGAGTGGTAGGTGCCCGCGTCCATGCGCTACAATGGGAGTGCTTATGGCCCCCAGGAGGGGAAGCGCATTGGATGGTCAGTCGAGCTTTTCTAGACCCTGGACGGGCATCGTGGGCTTGTTTTCCGAGGTCGTGCTCATGGATGAAAAAGTGTCGGCATGTCCTTCCTAGGCGCTTGCATCCTTATCGTGCATTCTTCTTTTACGGATTGACCTTAGGCATCCTACGGACATTGGCGCGTCGCTCCCTCCATGGCACCAGTCGCGCGGGTTCAGGCGTTGTGCCTTGCTGCCAGCCGCTTTCTCTCCAGCAGTTCCGTCTCCAAGGGCGCCCTCGAGGGCGCGAACTTCTTCGCTCTTCGCGCTTCGCGGTTCGGCTCCGATTTCTCCTCATCCTCCGCTTCTCCCTTTGGAGGTGGCGCGAGAGCGCGAAGTTATTCGCGCTTCGCGCAGCGCGAAGCGCGAAGTTAGGCGCCCTTGGTCTCGGCATGCAGAGGGGGTGAGCGTTTGCTGGAGGCGAGCAGAGCGCACAGGCTTCTGGAGGTGTTCGGATGTCGATGTCGGAGGTTGATAGAAAGCCACATCCTGCCAGGTCGATTAGCGACGTGCCCGTTGTTTCGGTTCTCGCGAGGGTGTTGCGGCCGCAATTGTTGCGGGCCTGCGCCCTGTGGGTCTGGTTCCAGGTCGTTTTTACCAAAGGATGTTTTGCTAAAGTGGATTATGTCTACCCCGATGTGTTTGGAGGGCTTGCGTGATTCTCGCCCCCACCGCACCATCAGGCAGTTGCACCTTCCCGGTAGCCCTCGGGGCCCGTCTGGTCGCCCCGTACGGCCCTTCTGCGGCTACACCCTCGGGGTTCAGCGTCTCGAAAGAATCAAGAAGCGCAACAATAGTCCCAACTGCACTTAGAAAGCGTTGTCGACCCTCGATCCCCGACTGTCGTCGTCGTCGTCGCCGTTTCGGCCAGATCCGGCTAGAATTTTGAGGCTGAGCTGGCTTTGGCGACGACGATCCCCCCAGAGGCCATTTCCGGTGAATTGTGTTCACTTCTTCATTTCGTATTGTCCTTGACTGGCGGTGGCGGCCTCGTTCCGTTGTTCGTTGTCATTTGGTACCAATGTCGGTTGAACGTTCCTTTCAAAAGCAGTCTGTTCTTCGTTTGCATCGTTTTAATAGGAACTTAGTTTCAAATAACGTTCAGGTTGATTCACGCACCAAGGCTTGTCGATCCTTGATTGTCGTCGCCGCCGTCGCCGCAGATGGCGGACGACGACCGCCTTGGCCAGCTGCCTATTAGTGCGACCTGATGTGTCCTCGACCCTCGATCCTGGGCCCTCGTCGATCGTTTTCGTTGCCGCCGTCGCCGCAGATGGACGACGACATCCTCAGCCAGCTGCCGGTGGGCGCGACCTTCCTGGTCCCGGCCGGCACCTTCGGGCGGGCGCCGGGGGAGCGTAGCCATCGTCGTCGTCTGTCGTGGCCGCCGCCCATCTTCGCCCGCCTCGTCGCCGATGTTGGCCTTGGCCGCCCCCAGGATGGCGACGAGGGTAGCGACGGAGTCGTCGTCGTCGCCGTCGTCTGTCGCCTGTTGTCTGTCGTCGTCGCCTATTTCTTGCTTCTCCTCCTTCGACTCCCTCTTCTGAACCTCCCTCCCGACCTACTCCCTTCTCCTCCGCCGCCTGGGGGCAGGAGGAGGACGAGGGCGAGGAGGTGGAGGAGAAGGATGAGGATAAACGAGCGGAAGGTGAAGGATGCGGAGTGGGAGGGAGGAGGGAGGAGCGAGGCGAGAAATGATCCAGAAAGTATGGAGGAGTAAGGAGTGGAAGGAGGGTGGGAGGGGCAGGAGTCGGATGGGAAGGAGGAGGAGGAGGAATATTATGAGAGTAGGGATAGGAGGACAAGGAGAAGGAGGACAGGAGGGAGGACGTGTCGGAGGCCTCAGAATCGGAGGTTGGGGGGGTGAGATCGAAGTGGAACGGAGAGTCTCCCTACCGGGAAATCGATTTCGGTTTCGTGTTCGTGCCGTGCGTGCGGGCGAGGCGAAGCTGCGTGGGCGGGGGAGAGGAAATTCTCCTGTGGTTGTGCCGCGGCTGGACCAAAAGGTTCTCCGCCCGCCAACCGGTGGCGCGCGGTGTCCCGCCGGTGTCCCGCTGGTGTCCCGCTGGTGTCCCGCCAATGTCCTGTCGTGGCTGGGCCGCGCCAGACCAAAAGATTCTCCGCCCGGCAACCGGTGGCGCGCGGTGTCCCGCCGGTGTCCTCTGTTGTCCCGCTGGTGTCCCGCCGGTGTCCCGTCGTTGTCCCGTGGTGTCCCGTGGTAAGATCGACAGTGAGATCGATAGTGAGATCGATATATAATGAGACCGATAGTGAGATCGATAGTGAGGTCTATAGTGAGAGCTCGATAGTGAGATCTATAGTGAGATCGATCGTGATATCGATAGAGAGATTGATGGTGAGATCGATAGTGAGATCGATCGAGTGGGATCGATAGCGATCGAAAGCGAGATCGATAGTGAGATCGATTGCGAGATCTATAGTGGGATCGATAGTGGGATGGATAGTGAGATCGACAGTGATATCGATTGTGTCATTGCTGTCCCCCTCCCCCTCCAACCTCCTTATCACCCGCAGGGTGGTCGTATAGGTATAACGAGAATGTGGCCCGGACGGACGACAGCTATGATTATAATCTGGAGAACACAGGCGTAGGCATGGAGGGGTAAGCACAGTGGCAGTGGGAGAAGTAGAAGGTTGAGAGGCAGGAAGACAAGTAGGATGGCAATGGAGAACAACAACACAAGACAGCTCGCCGCTTGGACCCCACCGCCAGCCCAAACAAAGAGCATCAATCGGGCGCATCCCAGAAACTTTCAGTTTGTGCGACGTCGATGGGTTGCGCCACACACATGTTTTGCGCCACAGGTTGCGCCTTCCATGCGTTGCGGCACGGATTGCGTGATCAATGTGTTGCTCCGCAGGCTGAGCCGTTCGTGGACTGCCCTATGGGTTGCGTGACCCAAGGTGTATAGATAGCGCCATCCTTCGGTTGTGTCATAGGCTGCGCCATCCATATTGGGCCAGTGTTTGCGCCATCCATGGGTTGCGCTAGACGTTGCGCACTCGACGGCCGGACATAAAAAAGGCATCTGATTGGTTGCGTTTGTCGAGGGTAACTTGGCCTGCTATTGGTTGCGACTAAGGGTGCGCACTTGGCTGCCGAATGTGCAATTGCCTGCTATTGGTTGCACAATGGATTGGGCACCCGGCGGCCGAAGATACATCGGCCTGCTAGTGGTTGCGCCATGGGTTGCGCACTCTGCGTCAGAAAGTAAGCTTGCCTGCTACTTTTTGCGCAATGTGCTGCGCGCCCTGCGGCCGAACATAAAGCGGCGTGCTACTGGTTGCCCCGTGGGTTGCGCATTGGGGGGACGAGAACATTTTGGCCTGTTAGTGGTTGGGTATAGGGTGGGCGCTCGGCGATTACGCACTCGACTGTCGAGAATATGACGTCCTGCGATCACTTGCGCCATGAATTATGCAACACGTCATGATTTGTCATTGGTTGCGCACGAGTTTTCGCACCAAGCGGCCGATTGTATAAAAGAAAGCTATCGGTTGTGCGATGGGTTGCGCATGCGGTGACAGACAACGAACCAGTTTGCTGGTTGCGCCATGGGTTGCGCATTAGGCGGCCGAGACTATCACAACTCGTTGTGTGCTGCCCCATCTGTTGCGCATTCGGGGGCCGAGAGTCAAGTTTCCTACAGTTGAATCCCCCACAGGTTGCTCACGTGGCCGCCGAACATTGTTTGCGCCACAGGTTGCGGTTTTGGCGTTCGAGCATCAACAAACAACGTCGTCTTACGTTGTGCCATCGGTTACGTAGTTGGCGGCCGAGCGTAGACTTGCGATTGATTGTGTCACGGATTTCCGCACTCCGCGATTGAGCATACTACCGTGCGCGATTTGTTGCGCCCTGAGTTCCGCATTTGACGGCCGAGCACAACACGGCTTGCGATTGTTTGCACATGGGTTGCGCTTTCGGTTGCCGCACATCCATGGTCGGCTATCGGTTGCGCCATGTGTGTCGCACTCGGCGGTCGAAAACCAAACAGTTTGATGTTGCTCATGCCATAGGTTGCTCATTACGCGGCCGAACGTAGAACAGCTTGCCGTTGGTTTCGCCATATGTCGCGGACTCGGCGGCCGATCATACATCAGCCTGCTCATGGTTGTGCCATCGGTTGCGTACTCGGCGGGCGAGAATATCACGGCCGCCTAATATGTGCGACAAGTCGGTCGACAGTCAGCGTTGCATCCCGCGAGGATGAACTGGGGCCACCCCCAGGGCGATGAGAGTTGGGATGTTGACAAGTCGAAGGCAATGCCAAGAGAAGAGCAAGAGGACATTGTGCAGGACTAGAAAAAAAGGCAAGGCAGACACTGTCCAGGACAGTGTCATAATCGACAGCATGAGGGCCCTCCTCCCACCCATTTCATCCTCTCATCCTCCCCTGCCTCTCTTCGTCGTCGTCGTCCTCGTCGTCGCCTTTCTCTATTTCTCTCTGTGTCTCTGTCTCGTGGTCCCTCCTCTCCTATCCCTCTTTTGCATGTCTGTATGCATGCATGCATGCATGTGCGGATGTATGTATATATGTTTGGTTGCATGTAAGTATGTATGTATGTATGCATGTATATATGTATGTATGTATGTACGTATGTGTATATACATGTATGCACGTATACGTACGTATGTATGTATGTGTGTGATCATACATGTATGGATATAGGTGGTGTGTGTATGTATGTGTGTATGTATGTGTATGGACTGACAATTGTATGTATATACATACGTACTGGTATGTTTGCATGACGGCATGAATGTGTGTATTCGTTTGCATGTATGTTTGTATGTATGCACGCGTACATGTGCTTGTATACTTGTGTGCACAGTTGCTTGTATATGTATATGTGCGTATGTATGAATGTATGTGTAGTCATGTACGTTTGTATGCATGCACGCATGCATGTGCGTATGCATGTCTGGATGCAGGTATATGTGCACGGATGTATGTTTGTGTATATATGTATATATGGATGCATGTATGTATGCATATGCGCATGTCCGCACGTACGTATGGTTGTTCGTATGAGTGTATGTAGTCGTGTTTGTATGTATGCATATATGCGTCTGCAAGTATGTACGCATGCGTGAATGTATGTATGGATACATTCATATGTGCTTGCATATGCATGTATGAATGCATGCGCAGTTGTGTACGCGTGTATGTATGTATGGATGTGTACATATGTGTATTCGCTTGCTTGTATGTGTACTCGCGAGTGGAGTATAAAACGCCCCCGCTGACGCCAGGGGAAGATGTAAGCGAGGAAGGGGAGGGAAAGGAAGGGGAGTGAAAGAAGGAAGGGGAACGAAAGGAAGAGGAGTGTAGAACATCGCCAAGAGAAAGAAGGCGATGAATGGGTGCTGGGGGGGGGCTGTCCATATATATATATATATATGTGTGTGTGTATGCGCATGTATGCGGTAAGTATGTATGTATGTACGTATGTACGCACGTACGTACGTTTGTTTACATGTATGTCTGTATGTACGTATATGTGCATGTCGGTGTTCATGTTTGTATGTTTGTACGCACACATTATAATCCTCTCTCTCTCTCCGTTCTCTCCCTCTCTCGCACTCCCTTTGTCTCTGTCCCTCTCTCTCTCTCTATTTCTCGCTCCCTATTTTTCTCCCCTCTCTCTCTCTCTTTCTCTCTCTCTCTCTCTCTCTTTTCCTGTTATGTAGAGAACCGGTGGTACATTCCAGTGTCCCTCTCTCTCAATGCAGCGTTTTATTCTGCTGACGTTCAGGCTCAGACACGAGGTTCACCCACGCACCGTGGTGAAAACATGGTGGCGGAGCCGTGGGTTCGCTGAGGCAGCGTTCCACGGCTCGCGCCTGGCTGGGGGCAGCAGGCGCGGTGAGCAGCAGCGCCTGGCTGCGGCAGCAGGCGCAGTCAGGAGCAGCGCCTGCCTGAGGCAGCAGGCTCGGTGAGCAGCAGCGACTGGCTGAGGCAGCTGGCGCAGCGATGGCGACGCTGACGACTGGCGGCAGATATCAGATGTGGGCGCTGAAGGACATACGGGCCCACGACACGTTCGGAGGCGCCCAGGATGGTTTTGAGAGCTATTTCTTCACGATGGAGGCGGAGGTCACCGAGATGGGCTGGAGGCACCTGTATGATGCAGCAGTGACCCATGTTGGCCCCATCAGTTCCGAGAGCATCACGAATGAGGAGACGCGCGAACTTTCGCGCAACTTGGGCACGTTCTTGGCCATGACGAAGCTTGCTGGTGCCGGAAATGGGTTTGAGGCGCTGAGGCGGATCTATGCGGACTATCGACCCCAGGGCGGCACATTTGAGCACAGTCTGCTGACCACGACTGTGCAGCCTAAGTGGTGGTCGAGCGACGATCAGTCAAGGCGCAGCTTCGCATATGTCCTTCACGATTGGGGTCACCTGGTCACGCAGCACGAGTTGGCTAGCCAGGAGAAGATCTTGGACATAATGACGTGCGCGACCATCCTGGGCTACGCGCCGCTCCAGATCAGAGAGGCCCTCGACGGTGCGAGCCAGGAGGTCAGGGATAACTACGCGGTGATGCGGACCGGCCCCATTGCTCGCCACTTGCTCAGTGCTGGGAGGGTTTTCGACGCAGGCTTCGACGCGGTCTACCCGCGCAGTGAGGGGTGCTTCTGACGGCAGGCGCGCGAGGGTTCCGATGTTTCGGAAGAGGAGCGCGTCTGGAGTGCCAGCGAGCGTGCGCAGGGACATGGAAGATGCCAAGCATGAGGTCAAGAAGGCGAAGCGGCTGGCAGGGGATCGCTCTTCCAAGGTCGCGATGGGCGTCGTCGCGGCGAGCGAGGACGTGGAGATGAAGGACGTGGGGGCCGTCCAGGCCGACGGGGCTGGTGCGCCTGCGCCCATGGCAGAGGGTGCTGGGTCGGCTTCGTCGGGGTCTGGCGGCGCGGCCCCCGCGGCTCCCGAGGGGGGTCTTCCCGCAGCGGCCGGGCCAGCAGAAGGTCCGCCAGCTCCGAAGGCAGAGAAGAAGGTAGTGGGGGACCCAGAGGGGGCAGAGCTGGGACCAGGCACTCGAGTTGACTTGCTGCGAGCTTGTCTGAGGGAGCTAGGCGGCGCGGTCTACGGCGCGAAGAAGGAGTTGTGGACTCACCTGTTTCAGTGCGAGCATAAGCGCAAGCAGGATCTCGAGTTTAAGAAGGCGGTCGAAGAACGATACCGGCAGCAGGTTGACGGACAGCCTGTGACGGAGGCTAAGGTCGTGGATGGGCCCTACAGCCCGACGGAGATAGGGGGAGCAGCACAAGGCCTCCGGCCACGCGGTGTTCAAGAAGTGGCGCCCCGCGCGCGCGATCGGCTTAGGCCCCGAGGATCCACATATCAAGCAACCCGTCTACGGGGGCAACGTTAGGGATGAGCTGATCTTCTTTGACTAGGTTTTCAACGGCACCAAGGACACCGAGAACGTCTGCGACGAGGCCGACGGGTCTTGGCACGTCTTGGTGGTTGCGGATCGCAGCGCGGGGTTTCTCTGCGGCAGCGCGCCCGGGAACGAGGCCGCCGACGACTGCGCGACCAAGCAGCTCATGAGGTTCATGAAGCACTTGGCCTACCAGAAGCCAGAGCCCAGGCGCGACGCTGAGCCTCCGGCCAAGGCGCTTCAGGATAAGGTTGTCAGCGCGAGGAGTGAGGAGAACCTGGAGACCAGGGTTTCGCAGGGCAAGACGGGGGACAGCCAGTCGATGGGCTTTATCGGGGCTCGGATTCGATGGTGGCGTGGGCACCTGAAGGCCAACAGGGTGCAGGTTGAGATGAACTACGGGATCAAGCTCGCACCTCATTCTCCTCTCTGGCCGTTTCTCGCTCACCACGCCGCGAACGTGACGAACTGGCTCAGCAGGGACGCCGGCGGCTATGCGGCGTACTTCGCGGTCAGCGGGGTGAACTACACGGGCGTCGTGGCGCCGTTCGCAGAGACGGTGATGGCGAGGATTCCCGTCTCCAAGACGGGCCGGCGATGCTCGATGGGGGTTCAGCCCCGAGGCTTACTAAAGCTGGCGCGGCTTGGGTGAAGGGGATCTGAGCCGGCAAGACAACCGCCAACGACGAGCGCGTCATTCTCTCGGTGGGTGGAATTGTGACCTGCAGGGCCGTTCGCAGGACGCCGAAGGGGAAGCGTCACGACAAGGATATGTTGCCGAAGGTCTGCGGCGAGCCCTGGAAGGAGAGGATCGCGCGCATGCCTCGCTCTCTCGTCATGGGCGGTGACAAGGGCGAGGTCGCGCCAACGCCGTTGGAGGCCGCGGGCGCGGAGGCCGATGGGGGCAGCCCCAGGGGCGGCCCCGAGTGGGGCGGGGGCCCCAGAGGTCCAGGGCCCCGAGGCCCAAGCTCCATAGCCCCAACCTGAGGTTCCCGAGCCTCGGACTCCAGAGCCTCGACCAAGGGGCGGAGGCCAGGCTAAAGGCTCCGATGGGGGCCCGTGGATTCTCGGCGGAAGCTAGAGGAGGCTCGAGCAGCGGGCCTTCTGCCCCCGAGGGGGCCAGCGGCAGCGGTGGGAGAGACGCTGCGACGGCAACTCCGTCGAGCTCGCCCGTGAGACCGAGGTCCCCGACTGGTGGCCCCATCCTTGGGTGGCGCGAGGCGAAGAAGGCGCGCGTCGAGGGTCTGATCGCCGGCGCCATCGAGAACATCAGCGGGCAGCTGGACTACAAGACGCTCCTGACGGCTGAGGAGCTCACGCACTGGGACAGCAGCGGCTCTCCCATGGAGGAGGTGGCGGAGGCGATCGAGAAGGGCCTGAAGCTCTGCGACGAGTTCGGCATCTACTCGGTCCACCCTCGGGGCGCCGCCGACGGCAAGAAGAAGGTCGACGCCAAGTGTGGGGGGGGGGGGGATCGGGCAGGGGCCCTCAAGTACAGGTTCGTTGGCAGGGAGTTCGCCTGGCTGGAGGAGCGTGGCGACTTGTTCGCGCCAGGATCGACAACCCTGACAGTTGGCGACGTGACGAGCGCGTGCTACCAAGTGCCTGAGAAGGAGGAGTTCTATTGTGATCCTCCACCTGAGTGGCTTGCTGCGAGGGCCAAGGCAGGCCTCGACGTGAATGTTGTCTGGGAGCTGGAGACGCAGCTCCCTGGCAGGGGGGATGCGAGTCGTGAGTGGGTCGGCTATGTTGCTGACCATCGCTTGATCTGCGGGCTTAGTCGGAATGATGCCTGCCCACAGTTTTACCGCAAACCGATCACTCGATGGAGCCTCGAGTTTCACATGGGCGACTTCTTTTGCGCTGGGCGCAAGGGCGAGGTGGGGGGCTTTTTTCCCGCGATCAGGGCGAAGCTGAAACTGAAGGACAGCGACGTCGTCATCGAGGGCCGCTTCGAGTACCTGAAGCACCAGGATCAAGACCAACGAGGGCATCTTCCTCAAGGCGCACGAGAAGCAAAGCAGCCACATCATCGCCGAGCTGGGGTTGAGGGGCGCTAATCCAGTCAGGACCGTCGAGCACTCCCCGCCGCTGGTCGACAGGCAGATTGCGAGGTATCGGTCGCGCGTGGGCAGTGGTCTCTACTTGGCTCAGGACCGCGCCGACATCCGGGGGGGCGCGGGCGCGTTGGCTGCTGATCTGGCGGCGCCGACGGAGCTCCCCTGGAAGAGGCCGCTGCGGCTCGGGCGCTACCTGGTCGGCACCTCTGACCTGGGCGTGTTCCTCCCGAAGGTTGATGCGAAGATCTGCAAGAAGGGCGTGGTCCACCTGAGGGCGTTCTCGGACAGCGACCACGGAGGCAAGGAGGCGAAGCGCAAGAGTGCCACGTGCGGCGTCCTGCACGCGGACGGCGTTATTCTGGCGACGCTTGTGAGAAGGCAGGACCTGATTGCAGTGAGTTCGGGTGAGAGCGAGTTCTGCGCGCTGAGTACCGTGGCGACGGGTGGCAAAATGCTGAGGGACCTGCTCACCTGGTCCGGCTTCCGTGCCGAGTGGACTTTGGAGACGGACTCTTCGGCAGCGCGCTCAATGTCCTTGAGGCGGGGCGTTGGAAAGGTGCGCCACTTGGACACGAGGGCCCTGTGGGTCCAGCAGGCGACTCGCTTGCACAACTTGAGGGTGGTGAAGCGCAAGGGAACACAGAACCCCGCGGACATCGGAACGAAATCGCGCACGGCTGAGGTGCACGAGCAGGTTCTGCAAGCAGGTTGGGTTGCGGCGCTTGGGCGGTGATCCCAGTGCAGTTCGCGAGGTCGAGGTGCATGCAGTAATTGAGAAGGTGGCGCGCACGGCTCGTGGCGTGCAGTTTGGTGGAAAGGTCCCGAGCAGCCCGACGCTCAACACGGCGATCCTGGCATTGTGTCTAGCGATTCAGGCGCAGCAGGGTGAAGCAGTTGACAATATCGGCAGTGAGGACAACTACGGCTACATGTTTGTGCCCATGCTGGTTTTCCTCAGTTGGCTTGTCGTGTTCGCGATGGGCTGCGCGGCGGGTTGCTGTTGCTTCGGAGGGCGCAGCAAGATCGAGCCCCCGCCAGGTGCGACTGACAGCAGGAACGGAGCTTTGGTGCCAGCTGGGATGAGGGTGAGGCGTGATAGACCGAGGTTGCGCGGAGGAGACCCTGTGTACCATTTGGAGGGAGACAACCACGTGCTGCACCTGGACAGGGGGTGCCAATTCTTCGAGGCGTTCGTGATGTCGATCACCGCCTCAGGCAGCGCACGGTTCGCCAAGATTGTGCTTTGAGCTTGCAGTGAATGATGAGCCTTGAGTTGATTTGGCTGGCCGCTCTTGCCGAGCGGAGTTTTCGATGTGGCTGGCCGCTCGTGTTGAACGGTGTTTTCGAGCCCACAGGAGTTTTTCGATGCTAGTTTTTTCCGACGAGGGAGAGGTCCCCTGCGAAGAGGTGTAGAGAATCTGTGACACATTCCAATGTCCCTCTCTTTCAATGCAGCGCGTTATTCTGCTGACTTTCTGGCTCAGACAAGAGGGTGCGTCGGAGGTTCACCCACGCACCGTGGTGAAAACATGTTTTTTTTGTTTCTCTCTCTCTCTCTCTCTCTCTCTCTCTCTCTCTCTTTCATCATCGCCAAAGATATCGTCCGTATCCGCCGGTTTCGAAGCGTGCCGCGTGCCCCCCCGAGGAGCCCGCGGAGCGTTGGACATGGGTGCCTTGCCGCCCCCGGAGGGCGGGACATACTTCCACATCCAACGTTCCGCGAGATCCTCGGGGCACGTATCTTAACCTGTGGATGTTGACGTAATGGTCGGCGTGGGTATCTCCTTCCCTCTCTCTCCATCCCTCCCTCTCTCTCTTTCTCTCCGTGTCTCTATATCTGCCGCTCTCTCTCTCTCTCGCTGTCTCTTTTTTTTTTTTTTTCTCTCTCTCTCTCTCTCTCTGCTCTCTCTGCTCTGCTCTCCTGTGCCTGCCCGCGGCCCGCAGGAGTCCCAGCCCCCGTCCCCGGCGGCACCCGCGCCAGCCGAGGAGCGCAGAGCTCCTCCCCGCTTGGGACGACGTCGTCCATCGCCGCCTGCCGCTCGTCGTTCGTCGTCATCCATTGGTCGTCTCGTCGACCCCTCCTTCGTCGGTCGCCGTCGTTCGCCGTCGTCCGCGTCGTAGCCTGTCGTTTGTCGCCCGTCGTCGAGAATCGATGGTCGTCATCGTCGTCGTTCGGCGCCGGGGGAGTGGAGATGGGGAGATTGGGATGGGCAGTGAATGGGGGAATGGGGAGGAGGGAGGAGAAACGGGATGAGGGAGGCGGGCGAGGGGATGGAGGAGGTATGGTGGGGGGGGTGGACGGGCAGAAGGAGTAGGTGGGGAAGGATCACAAAGGGCAGCAAAAACGCAAGGAAGGGCCGCCGTTCTCTCGACTGGCTCTCCTCCGAGAGGAGGGGGCAGTGAGAGGGCTCGGAGGATGACAGGGATGATTCGAGGGAGCAGGAAGAGCCGCATGCGAGTTGCCAGCAGGTTTCGAATCTGGAGCTGTCGCGGGGGGGGAAGCTGGGCAGATTGGTGAGCTCGGGAAGGACGGTGGTTGCGCAGCGCTCAGATCCTCGGGTGAGCCTCCTCCTTATCCTACAGGCCTTTCGAATCTTTGCAGACGCGAGGGACGGGAATTGGGAAATGCTTCCCACGGAAGGCACGCGTGCAACGCCGCCACCATGACTGGCCAGGGCAATCCTGAGCCATACTGCGGTGTATAGACTCTCCTGGCTTTGCCCAGCAGGGCGTCTACACCACGCAAGGCCAAGCGCGGCGGTGGGATACATGTGCCTTCTGTGTATGCTTGGCGCTCAGCACAGGACGTCAAGGCCGTGCAGCCTCCGTCGCCACTGCCGGCCGTGGTCGTGCAGCAGCGAGTGCAGGCTGCGGAGGGGGAGATGTGGCCGCTGTTTCCAGTCAGGGATGGGTGAATGAAGTGCAGTATGGGCCTGCGCGTGGGTGGTTGGGGGGGGGGGAACAGACGAACTCCTGACCATATTGTTGTTTTCTTTGGCCCCTGGAGGTAGGTTCCTGACCCATATTGGCAGCTAGAGCTCGTCGAGAGTATCAAACCCTTGTGCTGATGTCCCGAGTGTATTCCTGTGGGCCACGTTCAGGCTCGGAAGTTGGTTCGGCAAAAATTGCAACGAATGTGCATCATCACCGGGGAGGGGGCCTGCACGACCAGGAGTATCAGCATCAGCACGAGCAGAGGTAGTAGCAATTGCAGGGTGGGAGCAAAGGGGGAGTGGGAGTGGTCGTGTGGGGAAGCGGGCGCATCAAAGGCGGCACCCCTGTATGATGACGGGGAGCCTCATCATGGTTGTATTGCTGATGCTGTGGGTTATCGCGAACTGGGTGGATGGTGAGGAGGAGGCGTAGTGACTGTGAATGTGCATCGGCATTCGCCAAAAAATAAAAGCAAACAGATTAGTCGAGCGCGCAAGTTCTGGCACACTGAGTACCATAATCAGGCGCGTAAGACTATATGTTGTGTCAGGGGGGTGTACGCATGATGGCCCACGCGCGCGCACGTGCGCGCGGAGGCGTGCGATTAGCAAATTAAGCGCGAGTATCGGTATGCGATATTCAGTGATTAGTGCTTGCACTAAGAGGCTCAACTTTCGTTGCTGAGTAATTCGATTGGTTCCCCAGAGCTTTCGCTTGATATCCGCCCGATCCCGCCTCTCGCCCGCTTCGTGTGCTGAGCGACTTCCTCTGACTTTCGCCCTGTGCCCGCCTCGTACCCGCTTTGTGCGCTGGCTGGGTTGCCCGGGTTTTTGCCTGGTGCCCGCCCGTGCTCGCCTCGCACCCGCTTTGTGCGCTCTGTGGGTTCCCCGGGTTTTCGCTGGGTGCCCGTCTGCGCCCGCCTCATGCCCACTCTGTGCACCGTCAGGGTGTCGCGGGGTTCGCCCAGTGCCCGCCCGTGCCCGCTGAGTGCCAGCTTTGTGCGCTGGCTCACACTTCTGGATGCACACAACAACTTTGCACCGCATGGCCTGCACAGCAAATATCGAGCCACATAGCGTGCAAGTGTGGATTGCATTCCTCAGCTTGCGGCACATAGCTTGCACTGCATCGATTGCACCACGTAGCTCGCATTCCACATAATGTACCTCATATATTGCACCATGCAGCTTGCTCCCCGTAAATTTCGCCTCGCAGCGTGTACCGCGTAGATCTGTACCCGAGAGGTTGCCCCTACATACTTTGTAGCCCTAAAGCTTGCACCAAAGTGTTTGCACCACATAGATTGCACTCCATAGAGTTTGCCGAGTACGTCGCACCCCGCAGTTTGCACCATATAAATTGGGCCACATAGCTCGAACCACACAGACCGCACCGCAGATAGTGCATGTGCCACACCGGTTCTACCACGAGTAATTGTAGCGTTGCGTAGAGTGCCTTTACAGTTCAAGATTCCACTGTTTGGGGTCCACGCTGGCAAACATTCGTGCTCTTAGAAGTGCCAGTCTCTTCATGCTTTGCTAAGGGATGGAGCGTAGAAGCCAAGGAGCCTCATACTGTCAGCACCCAGGCGCCGAGTAAACATGTAGTGGAACTTATACAGAGTGGTTCTTGGTCTCGGCGGCGGAGAATTGCACGCACCTCAGCTGAGGGCAGTAACGAATTGCTCCGTTAGTTAAAACATCTTTTTATACGGCTCCGGTTGTTTCAAGTGCTCGTCAGTTGGTGAGGAAGACTTGTACTGCGCAGTTCGTTGCACCAATTGGGTAATACCGCTAGATGCCAGCCACTTGTTCATGGGTGCCTCCATTCGGTGGTAGCACAGAAAGTGGATGTGCAGGATGATGATGATGACGAAGAGGACGGGGAGGATGATGAGGCGGAGATGTAGATGGAGGAGGAGTGGGAAGGAGGGCGAACGTAATGATGGTTATTGCTGTTATACATATACATGTCTGCATGCTTTGTTTTCTCTGTCTCTCTCTCTCTCTCTCTCCCTTATTCGATGTATATATACACATTCATATATATATATATGTATATATATATGTGTATATATATATGTATATATATATATATATATATATATATATATATATATATCAGAGTGAGGGGGCCGAACGGTCATTAATTGTCCCTGGGTGCGTGGCTGAATACGGAATTCATGGTGATACTAATTGTGTTTGTTGCGTAGTTGTTGTGGTGGTTGTTGTCATTGTTGTTGTTGTTGTTGTTGTTGTTGTTGATGCTGATGTTGCTGTCATTGTTGTGGTTGTTGTTGAACTTTCACTTCTGAAGAATAACTCGTGTTGCCCCCTTCACCGGTGCATATTGTTTTTTTCCCCATCACAGTGTGCCCCTCGACGCTCGCACCCTTTTTTGACAGGGAAAGTATTCGTGCTCAAACTGTGCCCCTGGCCCCCCGGATTACAGCAACAACGGCTCCCGCTTGAGATTTCCGCCAAATTTACTCAGGACACCCGCTCCCACCTGAGATTTCCTCACAATTTGCTCAGGATCGGTGCTCCCGCCTGTGACTCACAATTTACTCAGGAATGGCGCTCCACTTGAGTCAAGACTTCCTTGCTATGCTATTTAATCAAGAGCCCCGCTCCCGCCAGAGAACCCTTCATATGTTATTCAGGAATTGCGCTCTCGCCTGTGACTTCCATGCGATTGGTTCAGAAATCACGCTTTCGACGCTCAGGAAACACGCTGCGCCAAGAACGCCGTCACAGTTTACTTAGGAATCGCGCTCTCGCCATATTCAGGCATCCCGCTTGAATGTCCCACCCGCCCGACCCGCACGTCAGGGGATCGCCCACCCGTCGTGGGATCCCGCCCGAGACTTCTATCAGGAACGGCGCTTTCGCTTAGGACTTCCTCGAACGTTCACGCTCTTACCTTCCTGTTCCTCCTCCCTCTCCCTCCTCCCTCCTCCCTCCTCTCAACCCTTCTCTTTCCCTCCTCTCTTTCCCTCCTCTCTTCCCCCATCCTTTTGCCTCTCTGCTCTATTCACTCTCCCTCCTCTGCCACCTCCCTTCTCTCCCTTCTCCTGCTTCCTCCCTCCCTCTTTCTTTCTTTCTTTCTCTCTCTCTCTCTCTCTCTTTCTCCCCTCTCTCTCGCTTGTTCCACCTCTCTTATATGTCTTGGGTTCTTTCTCTCTCTCTCTCATTCTCTTCTTCTCTTTCTGCCTCTAATCAACCGCCCCCCTCTTCGCTCCTTCTCTCCTGGTGTTTTTCCTCTTCCTTCGTCCCTCCCTCCCTTCCTCCCAGTCTCCCTCGTTCTCCCCCTCTTTTTTTGCAGGGCCCACACCAATTCCAATAACGGACACACGTTCGCCCACGAAGGATTGTCCGCCCGTTCAGGTTCGCCCCCCTGTCTAAGCCCGCCAGCCCGTTTGAGGAACAGTAAGGGAGCCCACGGAGATTCGGAAACACATATAGTTTTACGTCAGCGTATGCCAGAGGTGTTGCGCGTTGCTCCCCCCCTCCACGGGGCAACAACTGCAACGTGTGGCCTGGGGGAGTGCGCTCGCCCCGTGGGCGAGGACACAACCACCGGCCCCGCGGGGGTGGCCTGAGAGGTTGTCCTTGCGTTGTTGTTGTTGTTGTTGTTGTTGTTGTTGTTGTTGTTGTTGTTGTTGTTGTTGTTGTTGTTGTTGTTGTTGTTGGTGTTGGTGTTGGTGTTGGTGTTGGTGTTGGTGTTGGTGTTGGTGTTGGTGTTGGTGTTGGTGTTGTTGTTGTTGAATTCTCACTTCTGACGAATGATTATTGTTGATCCCCCACCAGTGCTTACTGCTTTTTCTCAATCAAAGTGTGCCCCTCGACGCTCGCACCCTGTTTTTTGACAGGGAAAGTCTTCCTGCTCAAAGTGGCCCCCTGGCCCCCGGGTTACAACAACAACGGCTCCCGCTTGAGACATCCTTAGAATTTAGCCAGGACCCCCGCTCCCGCACGAGATTTCCTCGCATTCTATTCAGGAATCGCGCTCTCGCTTGGGACTTCCTTGCAATTTATTCAGGAATCGCTCTCCCGGCGCTCTGGAGTCGCGCTCTCGCTGGAGACTTGCTTGCAACTTACTGAAAAATGGCCTTGCGTTGGAATTTCCTGCAATTCGCCCAAGCGCCGCGCTCCCGACACCCAGGCACCCAGGAGTCGCGACCGTTGTGGCCCCATGTGCATGCCCTTCGTGGCCCCTCTGTCGCGATTTGTGTCCCCCTCACTGTCCTACGTGGCCCAGTTGCTACCCTCAGTGGCCCCATAGTTGCCTTCTGTGGCCCCGCATTATCTGCCTTCGTGGACCCCTGTCGTTCGCGCTCTTCGTGGGCCCATACGCATTCCCTTCGTGTCCCCGCTGTCGCCCTTGGTGCCCTACTTCGTGTCCTTGTGTCCCTGCTGTCGTTCCGTAGCCATTTTGGCTCAAGCCATTTTGGCTCAAGCCATTCTGGCTCAAGTGCGGGCTCAGTCCCGCACGCCTGCCGGGTGGACGCCGGCGTGTCGCCCCCTCCGATCGTACCCGCGGCCGGACGCGGCTCGAAAAACTCGCGCGTAGGGTAATCCGCGCGCGTGGCCGCATGCCGGGCGGCTGCCGCGGCAAGGCGCCGGCCAGCGGTGGCCCCGCCGTGCCGCCGCAGCTGGGGAAGGCACTGCTGGCCGCATGCCGGGCGGCTGGGCTGCCTGGGCTGGGAGACGGCGGGGGGCAGCAGAAGCAGGGGCGGGAGCGCAAGGCGGGTGGGCGTGGTGGGCGCCTCGAGGCCCCGGAAGGCCCGCGGCAGCCCATGGGCTGCTCGTGCGGGGTGTCCGACAATTGGGCCTGTCGGACTGCCTGCCGTGCGTGCGGCCGCCGCGGCCCGCGCGCTGCCGTTGGGAACACGCCGCACCCCGGAGCGGAGCGCCCTCCCCCGGCGGCTGCC